AGCAAGAGCGACGAAGTGCAGCCACCGTGAAGAAGGACGCTCACAGTCAGTCTCGCACGCGCTGTTTTACGAAAGGCGTCCACTCTAATAACTCACAGAGCTGGTCAGAGATTTCGAAGGACAAGCATTGCATGTCTTTTTTTGGTGAACGTGGGGCACAATGGGGGAAGCTTGGACTGGAGAGCCCGAATTCAGCTTGACATCACGCCAAGCATTCACTGAATTACTGAGAGCTCTGATTCATCGGTGAGTGCTCCTCCACTGTCCGCTGACTAGCTCCTCCCACCGAATACCAGGTGTGGCGGCAGGTGCGGGGCAGACAGGGTGTGCTCTGCCTCCAAGGGGCTTACACCAGTTCCCAGAAGAGTGGCGGGACCCTGGGGGAGAGCCTGCCTGAAGCCCGGTTAGTATGTAACAGTAATAATAATGACAGTAGTAAACTGTTACATTTTATTTACGTATTTAGCATGATCCTTCCTTTTAAATAATGTTATATCTTCTCTGCAAAAGAATAAGCTGATCACCCCTCCTTTTAAATAATGTTATATCTTCTCTGCAAAAGAATAAGCTGATTACCCCACAACAAGACACAGAATGAGTTTTTAAAAAATTTACAGCTGCAACAAACTTAACCACTATATGTGTTCTCCCGACAGGAATTTTATTTTCATTTACTGTAACAGGAACTGTAAGTTCAGGAAATGGATGGTGACAGCTTGATTTATGAATTTTGACATATTTCTTGAACTGGGATTACATTACAAAAGAAAGTGGAATTCTAAGCAAGTCAGATCTTGCCTGCACATTCAATCTTCAAATCAATATGCGAGGATTCCACGCAGCTTGTTTCTGACAGAGGGAAACAGAGACCATGGACCTGTAATGTGAAAGTTCCCCCCACGCTCGCAGAACTGAGCTGGAACAGTTGAGGTGTTCACACAGAAAACACTTCAGCTCTTTACCAAGTCGTAACAAAAGAGAAACTCAGAAAGCATTTGTGGTAAAACTGACAAGAAAAAAAATGATTCTTGTCCTAAAGAAAGTGCTCATATTTGCTTTCACTTTACTTCCTCCAAAAAGCCCCATCTATTAGAAAAGTAATGTACACAGAATAGGGAATGTGAGGATTACTTTAAACTTTGTAAATACCCAGAATTTAGAGAAACATTAGTTTTCATTTGAAAACATTATTTTATTTTTACCATGTCTTTGTTTGCAAACATAAGTCAGGATTAAAAAAAAATTTTTATCCCAGGATATTTTTCTACTTATCATTAGATAGAGTGGAAGGGAGGGAGGGAGAGAAAGACAGAGAGAAACATCGATGTGATAGAGACACATTGACTGGTTGGCTCCCACACGACCCGACCAGGGCCTGGGATGAACTGCAACCGAGGTACATGCCCCTAACTGGAATCGAACCCAGGACTCATTGGTCCTCAGGCCGATGCTCTAACCGCTGAGCCGAACAGGCCAGGGTGTAGTTGGGATATTTTACCGTAAACTACAGACCCTTGAAAAGACGGCCATGTCTTACTGGCCTTTCAGAGCCTGAAACTGTTCGGTGGGCACTGGACACTCAACAAATATTTTAGAACAAACTCTTATTCAAGAAAAATTCACTGAACACTTACTGTGTGGCAGGTGCAGTTTAGTCTTGGGGACAACAAAGGGGGCAAAACATTTTTAATGAAAAATGCATCACAAAAACTTTTTTTATGTATATAAATGCAACCTACCTTCATACAGATAAGTGTGGATCAAAGTGGCCAAATCATTGTGTTTACTTAATGAACTTTTCCATATAGCACGAATGTTTTTGTTGTTGTTAATCCTCACCTGAGGATCTTTTTCCATGGATTTTTAGACCAAGTTGGGGGTGGGGGCGGGAGAGAAACATCGATGTGAGAGAAACACACAGACTGGTTGCCTCCCGCACGACCCGACCAGGACCAGGGATGGAATGCAACTGAGGCACGTGCCCTTGACCGGAATTGAACCTGAGACTCTTTGGTCCTCGGGCCAACGCTCTAACCACTGAGCCAAACCGGTCAGGGCCGAACTTATTTTTAAATGAAGTTACGCCTGTAACAAAAGCTCTCTGTGTGCATATGTTTGGACACATTCGATCAAACATACGTGTGAATGTCAGGAATCTTTTCCATCAGGGAGGAGGAAGAGAAGAAACTGAACAGCACTTCCATAAAACCTCCAGCAGAAAGGATTCAACAACCAAAACCGTGGACGGTCCACCCTAGTCAAGACCATTTCTTTCAGGGGAAAAGAAGGTAGATAAACTAGATTGCCTGCCTGCCCATTTTGGAAGGAAAAGAAAAACGCATGTAGCTTTATGAAAAAAAAGTGTGGTGTTTTTTCCTAATAAAGCATTCACTTAAAGAATTTATGATAATAGTGAAGAAAAGAAGAATGGGGAAGTAAAAAAGTAAACCATACATTCCTTGTTCTAACAAAGAAGCCAAAGAATGCTTTCTTCATGGTTACAGCATAATGCCATGTGCTTCTTACAACAGAAACCAAAACAGAATCTCTGTTTCAGGTCCACAAAGGTCTGCAAGGTACACTCATCACTAGAGAAGTGGCAAGGAAACAAACACAAACACAAGCACAGCACAAACACAAGGGGAGAGCAGAAGCTGGTAGGGTTAGGAGCACCTCCCTACCGGGACCTGGCAAGGGGAAGTCTAGCAATGCCTGCACAATTCAGGAAACACGACAGTCCACCATGTGTCCATATGTAAGCGTACACAACACACGTGAAGACTGGGTGAAACCCATGGCTGAGCAGATTCCCCATCTGAGGCCAGGCACCTCGGCTCCCTCTGTACGCCCAGGGCACAGACGGGAAGGAAGCCTTCCTATGACTAGGTAGCTCCTGGCAGTCCAGCTCCCGTCCCGGCTGAGGGCTGTCTCTGGCACAAGCAGCCCAGAGGATCGCATCATTCACTTGCTCCCGTTCGACAGGTCTCCAACCCAGACCGTCGGAGCCCCTTGTGCTCCGGGTGAGCTCAGCCGTGAAAGCGACCGTCTTCTCCAGGGCACGCAGCGTACAGCAGCTTCACGGAATGAATGCAGACGAAAAGAACTAGGGACCGGGCAAGGGCCTAGAGTCTAACGGGTGCCATCCAGGTGAGCACCACACTCGGCGTGACGAATGAACTTAGACAAGCAGAGGCCTGGCTGGGCTTCACCTGGCTTCTGATCAAACTGCAGAGCAATCAGGCAATGCACAAAGATTCTAGGAAAAGGTGTGTCATTGCTAATTTTGGAATTCCGGCTGAAAGAGACAAGGACTGTCTGTAGATGCTCCGAGAGTGAAATCTTCACAGGTGGAGACACCCATCTGTCGCATCCATCGAAGGACGCCCACAGCTGGGAATGTTCCCATCTGATGAAGGAATGAACTGGAGGCAGAGATGCGCGCATCATCAGAGTGCCAGACTGACCTGAGACGGGACTAAGGCCTGGCGAGCTGGGAAACCCAGACTCACCAGCCTTCGGCATCTTCAGTTTCAAGTCCGTCAGGAAGTCTATTTTAAACCTCCTCCTCCAAACCCTTGGAAAACTCCCAAATGAGAGGCACCATGGGGAGAAAGCACAGGAGCTCACAGTCAGACAAGTCTAAATTCTACTCTGAGCTCTGCAGCTCACTGACTCAATGGCTTCTCCCTAAAATGGGGTTAGCAGGACTTGCTTTGCAAGGCTAAATGCAAAGACTAAATTGATTATACCTGTAACTCATTATGCACAATGCTGGGACACAGTAGACACTAAGCAAACCATCGGCCCCTTTTTTCTTCTGGGTGAAGGATGAACAAAGTTAGGCTAGATGGTACAAAACACCCCCAACTCAGACCTGTAGTCTCAGAGCAGAGACAGAGCGAAATTTCCCCCTAGGCTCCAATTTGGGAGCAATGGGACAATCCATCCAGACAGTCCAATGAGAATTAACTGGTGATCAAGACCTGCTGTACAGTCACCATGTCTCCAAAATGGTAACTCAAGTCACCTGCGTGCTCGTGCGCTGCACGCCCTGATCGAGCAGAGCCAACGCCTGCAACACCAGCTGACGTCAGGATTCGACCTTGAGAAGGAAGCAGCTTTCAGCACATTCAGGAAGAGACTGTGAGGCCGTGTCTGATTCTTTGGAAGGAGAGAACAATCGGCGAGGTAATGCTTTCAGTTGAAGGCCTTTTGCCGCCTCGGGAAGAAGGGGAGACACAGGCGCTGCTCCACTTGGGGGAGGAGCTCCTTCACACCCCGCGGGGGGGGCCCCAGAAAGCAGCGCCGCTGGCGGCTGCGCACGCGAGGGGACAGTCCCCTGTGAGCGTGGCTCTCGGCAGCACCTGCACACGCTCCACGTTTGCTTGTGGTGCAGCCTCAGGCCGACGCCAGTGACTTATCTCACAGGCCTCTAAGGGTCGCTCCATTCTATCCCTGTGAGAGGCCAATCCAAAACAGCAACAAAGGACAGTTAAACACAAGAAACGCCACCTCTGTGCTCCTTGGGAAAGACAGTCTTGGTCATTCAAGAGGTAAAGATTCTCACATTGATGTTTCTCTCTCTCTGTCTCTCTTCCTCTCGCTAAGCATGTCTTCGGGTGAGAATTAAAAAAAAAATAACTGTTTTTAAATGTCTAATATGTGTTTGATAATTTCTAGGCCTTTTAAGTATCTGTTTTTGTTGATTATTCCCTACATGTCGTGATATGAGTGGTTAAGTGCACAGCTTTAGGACGAAGATCAACAATTTATGAGGAGACTGTCTCAAACATACTAAGGACAAATATAATGCCAATTACAAAAATACAAACAATTATGGCATTTTATGTTTATCTGTGGGAATACATAAATACACATATACGTATCTCAAGCCACTATCTAAGCATTTTAAGCTTTCGCTTCAAAAAAGTAAGTTCTAATTTTAAGTATCATATCCTAAACGGAGCCACATGCGGACGGCCCGGAGCAGTGCATCTCACCTTGTCTTGGTTGTCCTTATTCTTGTAGCACGTGTTTCCGACGAGGCGGATGAGATGGGACTTGAAGCCCTCGGCCATGTTTGAGACGTCGCCTTCCGCTTTCATGCACCCAGAGGTGCTGAAGATGTTTGTGGTGTCGCTGCCAGCTACATGAATCAGTCGTAGGAGATCTACAACGAAAACAGCGCGCTGCATTCTCCACAGAAAGATGTTTCGTATTCTGTACTAGTTCTCCACAAACAAATCTAATGTATTTAATTGACTGAAATAAAATGAAGGTCGAGTACTGAAAGCTTTCTTTAAGTAATGATTAAAAGGCTCTTCTATTTTTGCTTTAGAAATGTTCATGACTGGTTTTAGGCACATAAGTCACAATGATTACTCCAACTTGGGTTTTCCATTTATCCACAAAGAAAGGTTAGCTAAGCACTTCCCACCCTCTTTGTTAGAAGAAGGTTTCCATGTCAACTTCTTTCTGAAAGAGCCGACGTGATGCCCAGTGGGCTAAGTCTGGAAACAATCCCTGTCCGTCAGGAGCCACACACACCCAGGAGCACATGACTGCGTCTCACTGGCCAGGCGATCAGAAGGCAGCACGTGTGCTCCCCAGACCTATCCTGGCTGCATGTGGAAGAAACTTAATACTGTTACACGGTACAAGCTGCTGCCCCTCAGCAGCCATGGAAAACAAGCAGTCTTCCCGAAGTTGTATTTAAGTGTTTCTGCATTATCTCATTTAACCATCTCAACAAACCCATTATGGTAGTTATCACTTCCCCAGTTTTATAATGAAGGAATCAGGTGCAGAGAAGTTAGCAACGTCACAGAGCTGAGATGGCGACCCACATCTGCCCTGGCTCCAAACGCGTGCATGTCCACAACGGTTTGGCTTCTCGGGTTTGTGGTGTTTTAATTATCACTAAAAGCACTGAATCAAAACTAAAACCCCAACCTGAGATTCTAACTATCACCTACGGCTCACTGCTAACTCATCTACCCATCTAGATCCAAATCCATCTTTTTTAGCATATGGGTCTCCAGGAAAAGTATAATCTTTTCTAAAGAATAAAATAGCAAACAGTGAACAGCAACACCATAAGCATGGCTAACCACAAGGAATAGGTTCGACTTGAATTATTTTGCAAACAGTTTTTTAGCAAAGATGGTGATATTTCAAACACTGGCTTCTGGCTTAAACATAGCTTTATTATAAGAATCGAATACACAATTACTATGTGTATTCTTCGTGCCACATAAATGTGATTAGAAAACATTTTACTAACAAATTTGGTAAAACTATAGGGACATAGAAATGCTATCAGCCCTGGCTGGTTTGGCTCAGCAGTTGGAGCGTCGGCCCGCGGATCAGAGAGACCTGGGTTCGGTTCCCGCTAAGGGCACGTACCTCGGTTGCAGTTTGTCCCCGGCCCTGGTTGGGGTTGTGTGGGTGGCAGCCAGTCGATGTGTCTCTCTCACATCGATGTCCCCCCCGCCCCTACTCTATCTGAAGATAAATGCAAAATATGTCCTCAGGCGAGGATAAAAAAGAAAAAAATGCTATCATCATCATCATCGTCCCAGGCCCCTGTGGATGGAACACCCCCACAGGCACCAGTACCCTCATGTACGGATGAGGCAGCCTGAGTTAAAGAGCAGGGAGGTGGCAATAGCCTGAGCTGTTACCAAAACCCCGTAATTCCTCCCAAGAAAGAACATTCCCAAAAATCTCAAAAATATAACAATACCCTGAAAGTCACAGGTCTGTGTTTGAACTTATATTACAACAAGTCAAAGGCTTCTCGACGAGAAACAACGTGACGGCTCACGCACCGATGACTCTTTCCAGCAGGCCAGGATAAGCCTGAAGGTAGCCAAGCAGATCGGTATTGGCAGTCATTTCACACAGGACGTCAAGGAGCCTAATGGTAGCCAGGGCCTCCTAAGAAGGAAGGAGACATACAATTTTAAGTCAGACCAAATGATCTGACTGTTAGAAATGACCGTAAGAGGATGAAATATTAGAGGAAGTACTGAAGAGCCAGTGCTTCTAGCCCATCCAGAGCGAGAAACAAACGATCAGAAACAAAGCAGACGTATCAGGAATGTACAGGAACGATCACCACACTAACTGCAGACGTCACCATTAAGAACGCAAGATTACGTGTCATTATGTGTCTCACTGGAGCAAAGAATCAGAAAAGTTCTTATCCAAGCAGAAATACCTTCCAACAGTGAAATAAATGTTCAAAATTACTAGCTACATACATAACATTTATGCAAATACTTTCTTTTTAAAGCGTTCCTAGAAGCAAGTTCTACATTAAAGACACAAGTACACCATGAAGTACGTTAATTTCTTGCCCACAGGAATCCTGTAAAATGCTGTGGCTGAGAGAACTCTGGCTACAAGAACCTGCTTGATTCTGGGTAAATAGAAACCTATATGCAATATCTTGGTAAGCTAAAAAATATATTATTCGAAAATGCTAGTTCACATAACTACTAAAGAATTTATGATCAAATAGACTACATGGCCAAGAAACTACCAACTACCATACCAATGGCATGGCATTCAGGAGTCAAAATAAAAGTTCAAAATGCAATTTTTGTACAGGTTTGGAGCCTTGTTTTAAAAATACACATTATTTGGCAAAATGTGGTAGATGCTATAAATTTAGGTCATAAAGATAACATTCTAAATGTGTATTTATTATTCTCTACATAGGAGATTTAAGATCCTATTTTAATGTACATTCTGCAATGGCAAAATAAATAACAAGAAACAACACATTTTTAATGCCTTGCATCTCTAATTTTATTTAATAGCTTCACTCGCTACTTAAAGACGCAGGGGAAGCGTGTCGGTAAGACGTCTGAGAAGCTCGGCAGACCGGGGCACGTCCGTGAGCTGTGCGCCGCAGCGCCCCCTTCCTTACACGGAGCTGCCCGGGCTGTCATCTCCCAGCACCCTTCTCTTTCAAGAAAGGCCGACTGGTTCTGGGTGTGGGCAGAGCACACAGGATGACCCAGCACATCTTATCATACCGGTGGCAGGGAAGCTATCTGAAACTATTAGGATTCTGTTAGAAAAAACAGGAGCAACCTGAGAGGCTCCCCATAGCCAGCAAGGGCACATTAGGACATTAGAAAAAATAACAGCTACAATGAATTGGAAACAAATCAAATGGTTTAAATACTTTATAACTAAAACAGAACATGGCACTTATCATCTCTGGATAATACCACAAACTCAACTCATTACTTTTAATAGTGGAAATCAAAGAGGGAAAACTAAATGTACCTTGTATAACCTAATAGTTGACCAGGGGAAGATTCTCTTTATAAAATATTGAAGCTAATAAATGAAATATGAATGACATTTCACAACCCCTAACAATGAATGGATCTAGTTACGGCCCCCTAAGGCTAAGTGCCTATTACGTACATAGCACTATGAACTGTCAAAACTTCCGCCCGCATGGAGCTTACATTCAGTAGAACCATTTCATTTTTAATGTATCTGTGTGTGTACGTGTGTAGTACGCATGCATGTACTTGATGTTATCTGCCTAGAAAAATGTCTTAACTAGAATTTTTGTCATTAACCCTGAGTGGTTGTGAATAAAGACATTGTTTTCCTTTACCTGTATTTTCTTAACTGTCCTAAAATAAGGATACTTAGTCCACTCAAACTACTTGAACAAAAATGGCATAAACCGGGTGGCTTATAGACAACAGAAATGTATTTCCCGTGGCTCAGGAGGCTGAAGTCCGAGAGCAGGTGCCAGGTGGCTGGCTCGGGTGAGGACCTCGTGCTGTGCGGCACACGGCGGAGGGCGAGGGATCTTTCTGGGGCACTCAGCCCACTCACGACCTGATCACGTGCTAAGGTCCCACCTCCTAAAACCATCCTCTTATCATTAGGTTTTCAGCACACAGGGAGGGTGGGGCAGAGGCAGTCAAGTTGTAGCAGATACTTATGTAGTATATTTTTAAAGCTTTTAAAAAAGAATCCTCATAAAGGACGTAGATGCGCTAGGGAATCTTTCCTCACCTCATCGTCGGCATGCGGCTCCGAGGTCAGTCCCAGCACAACCTTGCACTGGCCCACAAAGGTGCTGGCAATCAGCTCGGCGTGGCTCAGAAACGCAGGGATGTCATCCTTGGTCAGAGGCTCCTCGCTCACTATTTTGGCTATTATAAGGTCTAACAACGTAACCCTGCAAAACAAAGAATATACGATACTGAAATTCTACAATGCTAAAAATATTTATAGACTATTTTAAGAGAATATTTTTACTTTTTAACTTCCTTACTTTGCTTATAATGTCTAGCTAGAGAAAACATTTTTTGTGAATAAAATTAATCCTCATCAATTATCTATTTTTTAAACCTTGATTTCTTTAATGTGACTTGGCTACAGAAAAAAGCACCTTTTATACCTCTGAGTGCTAAAATAATTCCACATCTCAAATGCCGTCAGTTTCATGACACATCTACAACAATAACAATGGCAAGGTTAGGTGGGCTAACACTCACTACTTACTAGAGAGCAAAGTATTTTCAACATTTTCTCACCTGATGTACACAAAGACTGCGAGACAGGTGCTGTCACTAGCCTCGCACTAGGTGGGTAACGAAGGCTAACTCAGGTTACCTGCCCAGGGTCACACACCCTGAGCTGCCACCTCAGGCTCAATCTCCGGCTCTGGGTCAGGTGCCTGAGCTCCTCGTTTTATTGTCCTTGGGAAGGTTGGCCTTTTTGTTTGTATCATCATTTTAGTTTATAAAACCAGAAGTCTGAAGTCCAGCCTATGTCATTTTTTACATCAATATTTAAATTATCAGTAAATATGTTTATTCGACAACCTCTTTCCTTCTAGAAAAAAACAAATCACAGGGCAATCTCTCCAGCATAAATCAAGTAGGACGTTCCTCAAAATCGTATTTTGATTTTGGATTACATGTATGAATCTTTATTTCTACACCAAAAAGGGATGAATACCTAAAACACTTAGCAAATGGTGGGAAATACACTACATGAGGCATGGAACACTTCTTACTGAAAGAAAACAGCAGTTGCCTACTGCATCAAGATCAGAAAAATACTTTGATGGGAAGGATCATCAGCCTAGAGAAAATCACCCACAGACCTTAACAATTTTCAAAACTGCTAAAACCTCAGATTTCTTAGAGCAATTATTATTCCGAAACAACACAAACAAACAATCCCCTCAACTGGGTACAAATGAACAACAAATAGCACAGTACTAGGGAGCCTTACTTTCCCTCATTCACACAATCTTTGAAAGTGAACGAGGTCCTCTTGGGCCACAAAGCCAGGCAGAAGGCCACCCACTAAGTGTGACTCCAAAGGAACCCAAAAATGTCTGCTCTAAGAACATCCCCTTTGTTTTGGGGTGGCGCGGCCGTTACGGATGGTAGGTAGAAGAAGCCATGGCCCCGGGGATGCAGCACCCGAGGGATCATTACTGGAAACAGGCACTCTCAGAACAGAAGGGGCGTTTCATCAGGTAAGTCACAGGCGCCCAGAGAGCAGTGCAGAGGAATGAGGAACAAACAGGTGAGCCGACCTGGGCAAAGCACCAAATGCGTGGCTGATCCTGAGGAAGAGCAGACCCCGAGGGAGCCCTGTGCGGCCAGGACAGAAGGGGAGGCCACAGGTGGTGGAAGTCAAGGCTGTCCAGCAGCAACAGAAAGGCTCAGGGCCCAAGGGGACAAACGAGACACCTGGATGCAGGAGCCAAAGGGGAGGTCGAAGCGGGTTTTGCCCTCTTTACAAATTCACACAGAGGCCATCCTTCCTTGGCCTCGCTTGGCTCAGCAGGTGGCTCTCTACTCTGCTGCATGACTACCAGATAGGAGATCTCAGAGATGGTTAGGAAGTGATTCTGAAGAAGAAAAGGGGAAAGTCAGAAAAAAATCTTTAAAATATAAAAGTATAAGCCAAGCTTGAGAATACATTACACTTTATTAAATGATGCTATTCACATTAAGCATCTGCTAATAAAAACTTTTTTTAATCCTCACCTAAGAATACTGATTTTTAGAGAGGGAAGGGGGAAGAAAGAGAGGAAGGAAGGAAGGGAGAGAGAGAGAGAGAGATAGGGAGATAAAGAGAAAGGGAGGGAGGGAGGGGTAGAGAGAGAAAGAGAGAGGGAGAGACATCTATGTGTGAGAAAAACATCAACTGTCCACTTCCTGTACATGCCCTAACTGGGGATCGAACTGGAAATCGAACCTGAAACCCTTTGGTGCACAGGATGACAATCGAACCAACTGAGCCATCCAGCTGGGTCTCTGCCAATAAACATTTTTAATGGCTCCCACTATTAAGGAGTGAGTTTTTCTGGTATCTGAAAAACTTGAGAACATTACCCATAAAGATACATGCACCCCTCTGTTCATTGAAGCGTTATTCACAACAGCCAAGACACGGAAACAACCTAAGTATCCTTCAACCAATAACTGGATAAAGAAGATGTAATACATATACACAATGGGATACTACTCAGCCATAGAAAATGAAATACTGACGTGAGACAACATGAATGATCTTGAGAGCATCATACTAAGCAAAATTAGTGAGAAAAGGACAAGCACCATATGATGTCACTCAAATGTGGGGTATAAAACAAAAAGAAACAAACAAAACAGAAGTCACAGACACAGACAACAGAATGGTGGTCACCAGCGGAGTGGGGTGGGAGGAGGACAAAGAGGGTAAAGGGCGTCAAACACATGGTGACAGGAGGAGACTAGGCTTTGGGTGGTGGACACACAACGGAGTAGACCTGAAACTTATGTTACTAACCAATGTTACCCAAATAAATGTAAAAATAATTAATTTCATTTTTAAAGAGGTGGGTCCAAAATTCTTTGGCCTGGTACATGGGGCCTCCCAACCAGAGTCCTTACCTAACTAATGCTCCACCCCCTTTACCTCCAGCCACCAAGAAAAACATCCTTTTCTTAAATAAATCACACCCACAACACACAACTCAAGTAGAAAATATTTCTTTCAAAATCACTTACTTTAATTGTACATCACCTTTGCCATCGCTATTCCTATGCCAGAAAGCACGTGACCTGAAATGCACTGTGTAGTCAGGAGAAATGGGATACAGTGTGGTGTGTCTTACTTCTTCCAGGTGGGGACAGGGTAGGGGGAGCCACACTAAATACTTCCTTGAAAACAGCAGAATACAAGTGGTCAAATAAGTGCTATTCATTCATTGATTTATTCACTCAGGGGTGAAGGACGCAAAAGCAAAAAAGATCCAGTCAAAGAGGTCAAAGACTAGTCTAAAATTATGACACATCAGTGTAGAAGTTCTGCTTCTTTTAAAGCAGAAATCATCAGTAGGGCTGCCTCAGGCTCGCCAGACACAGTTCCTCAATTCAAAGTCAAGCTTCTCTAATTTTCTCTCTCAACCACTGGCTGTCATTAACATTCTATTCCTAACTCACTTTTTTTTTTTTATCCTCACCCGAGGATATTTTTCCAATTTTTGTACAGACAGAGTGGGAGGGAGGGAGAGAGAGAGAAACATCGACGTGAAAGGGACACATCGAGTGGCTGCCACCCGCACGACCAACCAGGGCCGGGGACAAACTGCAACCGAAGTACGTGCCCTTAGCGGAAACCGGGTCTCTCCGGACCGCAGGCCGACGCTCTAACCGCTGAGCCAAACTGGCCAGGGCCCTAACTCACTTCTAATTAAATAGTTACATATGCTGTTCTCAATATCATGACTATTTCATTGAAAACACACACACACACACACACACACACACACACAGAGCAATATAGATGTGAATAATTTTAGGGACAATTTCAATAGCAAAATTTGTATTTTACGCTTAAGTTGATGCAGGCTATTTTATTTATTTATTTATTTTTGTTGATGTTGTTAATCCTCACCGGAGGATATTTTCCCACCTGAGGTTTTTAGAGAGAGTGGAAGAGACAGAGGGAAAGGAAGGAGGGAGGGAGAGGAAGAGAGAGAAAAACATCAATGTGAGACAGACACATTGATTAGTTGCCTCCTACAAGACCCTGACTAGGGCCAGGGATGAACCTGCCACCCAAGTTCATGCCCTTGACCGGGAATCAAACCCTCTGCCCTTTGGTCCGAGGGCCAATGCTCTAACCACTGAGCCCAACTGCCAGGGCTGGGCTACAATTTAAAAGCCATACTTACACCATCCTGGAAAGTCTCTTTATCAGATTGGAGTGAGAACAAAGAAGGAGGGGGAAAGAGCGAATGAGTGAGTTTTATGAGCATTCTAGGGCAGAAAACAATATTCTGTAATTCTGGAAAGAAAATATCTATAATTCAAATTCAAAGACTGACAAGTCCAATGAATTTTGAATTCAAGTTTGAGCTACTCTACATGTACAGTTTGTTGAATGAAGTGCCACAAAGACCAAAAATGTTGTTAACCAGGTCAACAAGCTAACCAAGATATAGGCAGACAGATAGCTCTCTTAATAAATTAAACTAGTCCCTTGATAAACTCGAGATATAAGTACATGTGTTGCAGGAAAAATGGTCACTGATTTTGGCATCAGATAAACTGAGTTCAAATACTACCACAGCTACCTTTGTAGTGATTCAGGGCAAATACCTTAACTTAAAAGCTTCAGATCCCCAATGGAGAAAATGGCAATAATAATACATATGTCACAGGGTCTTATCGAGAAGTAAATCACTGTGGCTATATGCTGCCTAGAGGAAGAAGTCAGGTCATCAGGGAAATAGTAGTATAGTGGTGGTAGAAACAACAGTAGTAGTAACAATAGTGGTAGTAGTAATAGTAGCAATGGTGGTGGTAATAATAATGGTAGTGGTAGTAACTGGTGGTAGTGACAGCAGTGGTTCCAATAACAATAGTGGTGGTAGTAACAATGATAGTGGTAGTAACAATGGCAGTGGTAGTAACAGTGGCGGTGGTTGTAATAGTGGCGGTGGTAGTAACAATGGCGGTGGTAGTAACAGTGGCAGTGGTAGTAACAGTGGCAGTGGTTGTAACGGGCAGTGGTTGTAACAGGGGCGGTGGTAGTAACAGTGGCGGTGGTTGTAACGGTGTGGGTGGTAGTAACAATGGCGGTGGTTGCAACAGTGGCGGTGGTAGTAACAGTGGCAGTGGTAGTAACAGTGGCGGTGGTTGTAATAGTGGTGGTGGTGGTAGTAACAATGGCGGTGGTAGTAACAGTGGCAGTGGTTGTAACGGGTAGTGGTAGTAACAATGGCGGTGGTAGTAACAGTGGCGGTGGTTGTAACGGTGTGGGTGGTAGTAACAGTGGTGGTGGTTGTAACAGTGGTGGTGGTAGTAACAGTGGCGGTGGTTGTAACAGTGGCAGTGGTAGTAACAACGGCAGTGGTTGTAATAGTGGTGGTGGTAGTAACAATGGCGGTGGTTGTAACAATGGCGGTGGTTGTAACAATGGTGGTGGTTGTAACAATGGTGGTGGTTGTAACAATGGCGGTGGTTGTAATAGTGGTGGTGGTAGTAACAGTGGCGGTGGTTGTAACAGTGGTGGTGGTAGTAACAGTGGCGGTGGTTGTAATAGTGGCGGTGGTAGTAACAGTGGCGGTGGTTGTAATAGTGGCGGTGGTAGTAACAGTGGCGGTGGTTGTAACAGTGGCGGTGGTAGTAACACTGGCAGTGGTAGTAACAGTGGCGGTGGTTGTAACAGTGGCGGTGGTTGTAACAGTGGCGGTGGTTGTAACAGTGGCGGTGGTAGTAACAGTGGCGGTGGTTGTAATAGTGGCGGTGGTAGTAACAGTGGCGGTGGTTGTAATAGTGGCGGTGGTAGTAACAGTGGCGGTGGTTGGAACAGTGGTGGTGGTAGTAACACTGGCAGTGGTAGTAACAGTGGCGGTGGTTGGAACAGTGGCAGTGGTTGGAACTGGCGGTAGTAACAGTAGAGAAGCACAGAAGCAGAACTATCACGCACATTTACTGAGTGATAATGTATGCCAGGCACTGAGAGCTTTATATATATTTCAATTAGTCACCACAACAATTTCCTGGGGTGGCTACTGATAGTATCCCCATTTTACAGATGAAACAGAGTTTTAACAGGTTAGGTTAACTCACCCAAAGTAACAAGTGGCACAACTACCTACCTCTGCTGTTAATTGCTTTGCCACAGACCATACAGCTGAGAACTAGGAGAGCTGCTTCCCAAGAGCAGCTAGTTTAATTTAATGTTACTCAACGCAACAGGAAAAGGGATCAGAAAATTGTATGAATGCAGGCTTCTGCTCAATCACACTACATGAACTGATTTTGACTCTGTACCCCAAATATTCTTGGCAAGTAATGTGCCCAAATCAACTGCCAGGGAGAAGGAGTCACTGTGGCACTGAGGGGACCAGCCGGCGTAAGAAGAGCTCCAGAGTTTACACACCTCGTGCCCTCCTCACCACCGTGGAGGGCAGGGACTATCTCACTGTTCCCAGGATGCCCAGGGCCGCAAGTAGGTACCGGATGCAAACAGTGCTTGTTTCACTGACTGACCCTCAAATGTTTTTAAACGGAAGAGCTCCCGTCCCTATCGGATCTTCTAGTTCCGGAGGCTGGGGCGCAGCCTCCTTCCTCGCATGACTCCGACATGCGTTCCCAGCTGAGAAGCACCATGATGTCTCCCAGGGCTCGCTAGCGAAGTTCCTCATCCCAACACAGAACACAGCAATGTTCTGAGTGACTATTTCATTCTCACGAGGACGGCACACAGTGCCATTCTAGGTGCACAGGAGAGAAGTTAATTCATTAGTTCTGCTAAGAAAAACAAATCTTTTCAATCTTTTTAATCTTCAAACGTACAACTCTGACACAGAACACATCCCGAAAGGTGTCGATAGGAAACCCGACAGCCTCGACTTCCCCAGGGAACTGAGAGGCTCTGTCCGAATCCAGCCCCTTCCTGCCCGGCACCCACCCCACCACCACACATCAGCACAGCACAGTCGGCAGGAACCCATCGGGCCCTGCGGCTATGCAGGTCAGTCACTATGAAAGCTCAGGCTCACGTGACCCTTGGCCAGGACTCTGTCAACAGCGAGGTAATCCCATTAGCAGTCCCCTCCCAACCTGCCGTGCGTGTATCAGCATCCGGTAGAGCCGGGGTTTCATGTCCTTGCTTCGTGTCACGTCACCACCAGAACATAAGCGCCACGAGGGCAGAGGCTTCTGTCTGGGGTATCGAGTGGGCACTCCATAAATATTTGTTGAGTGAACCGAAAAACATGTCCCCACACCAAGCCTAACCCTGGCGCTCCTGCCGAGAGCCTCTCTCGCTCCCCTCTCACAAGTGTCCTTCCTTCCAACCCAGTGGACTTACCGTGTGCTCCGAACACGCCGAGCTGCCTGCCTCTGCACGCGCCAGTCCTGACCCTTCAACGAGAAAGGTCCACACTGTCCTGAGCATGTGCCCGGCAAATCCTGCCCCACAAGCTCGTCGAGCCTGCCTCTTCCACAGTCTGTGCTCGCTCCAAAGGCCACAGCGGCCCTCCCTCGCCCCTACACCCACATCCCTAAACCACGGGATTTGTTCCTCTCCTGTGACATCACCAAACTTGTCTTGTGTTACAGTTACCAAGGCCCTTATTTTACCTCCCCACCGGGCTTTCTGACGATGTCCACAGAAAGGCTGGAGGGTCCTTGAGGGAAGGCACTGTGTCTAATTTAAAGTGTGGCGTCTCCGGGAAGAGCCTAAGACAGTGCCCTGTTCGGAGCAGGGAGTCAAAATTACTCACTGAAATGGAGCAAATCAAAGAAACGCTGCTGGGACGGAAACCACAGAGGGATGAGAAGTGTTTGTAGCCTTTGCTTTTTGTGTAAAGCACCATGCCTTTTGCATGCAGGCCCCATTCCCTCTCACCCTGAGTGGTCAAACACGTCACGAAGCTCGCCGGCATGATTAAATTGCTCCCATGTGTGTAGTGCCTTCACAGCGCATGAGAAACAAAGTACAAGTCTCAAGCCAGAATATTTTTGGTTGGTGTTTCTTGAAAACAAAGTTTGCTGCAGCTAGAAATCTGGCTGAGGCCATATAACCATGTGTAATATGAACCACAAAGACCCACCTCTGGCAAATCTACCTCCCAATGAAACGGAAGGTTAGACCGTCATTCATTCACGAGCTGCTGACTGACCACGACATCTAAAACTCCATG